ATTAAAGTTTGTACATGTACCATTACACATCGTTGTTTAGAGCTTTGTAATGAAGGTATATAATTTACAATACATTGGTCCAAACTTTGCACTCTCCTTTTCTAAGGGATAGGGTGTTGTGGGTCAAGACAAAAGAATAATCAAAACAAAATATAATGGCAGTATTTTTTTTTTTAACAACATTCTTGTACTATCGTTGAAAGAAACCTGTAGGTACCAGTTAGAAAAATATTTTATCTGGTAGCTGCCTTATAATTTTCATGCAGCCTTTACAAAAATTACTGACAATTGCCATTTATTTTCTGGCAGTTGACAGATAATTATTTGGAGGCGACCATGTAATTTCTGGCAGCTATTAAATAGATAGATCTGGAGCCTGACAGAAACTTACCTGGTGGCTGCCAGTTATTGATCATTATTATGCTTCCTGTCAGTTTGTCTCTATATATCCCATACCCAACTATTCTCGCATAGTGGTCTAAGGATTTATATAGCGTAAACATACTATGCCGAAATAGTGTACAGCTTTATTTATTGAATAAAATTCTTCAAAGTACACGCTGGGGATCGAACTCACGACCCTAAGATTGTCAGTCCGATGCCTTATCGATTACGCCACAGAGACGATTATTGATTAGTAGAATTTCATTAAATATAGAAACTTAATTTATACAATTGACACAAGAAGGAGAAAATAGACAAATATTATTTGAAAACAGTTATATTATTCTAAGGAACTTTAGATAAATGTGTCTAACAAACTTTCAAACAAATTACATACAGATCGTTAGATGAACTGATTTCATAGGGTCATTAAAATGCTTTTTTATATGACCCTTGATTGAAGGATATAAAAGAAAATTATCAATGAGAATCGACGTCTGCAAACAAATAAGGCTTACTATAACAAAACAGAAAATAAAGATGAGTTGCTTTGGGACAGAAAATCCCGACTTATTTAGAGAAAATACTAGTAACCAAAATAACTAAGCATGAAACAATTTTAGCATGAAGATTTTGAATGAGTTCTTGTATCTGCGCTGTGTAAGCACCGATATTTTCAGGAAAAAGTCAAATAGATTGCCGCATAAATAATTACAACAGTCAGCATAATAATAACAATAGTGTTGCATTATGCATGTACTATGCCTAAATAGTAGGCAGGGTTTGACACATAGTGCACTCGCCTCCGGCTCGTGCACCATGTGTCAAACCCTGCCTACTATTTAGGCATAGTACATGCATAATGCAACACTATTATATAAATGTGGCAGTCACCTGATCCATTTCTTTGGTGGTTGCCAGTTATTATTTGTAGAGGCTGTTAACAAATTACATGTACATGTATATGGCAGCTGCCATAAAGTTAAACTTAGATAAAATGATTTTTTTACCTGTTACCTACCTACTTTTGTAATTGTAAAATTTCATGTACTGTAGGATGATATGAAGTAATTTTGATCAGAATTTAACTTGCCTATCCTTATGACTTGAGTGGAGCAACAAACAAACAAAAAATTTTAAAAAAAAAAGAACATTATACTGCTTTACAACAGCAAAACTCAAGGTAGCAAGCAGAGGCTATAGATGTCTTACATAAGAATATGCAAAAAAATTCTTATAGCAAGAATGAGATGAAGTCAGCTATGCAATTGTGACCTTTTTGTTTTTTGATCAGGGATAAATATGGTAATATTTAAGTTCTCTTTCATTCCAGGTCAAGACAATTGTGAATGTTCCAGTGAGCAGTAATGTCACGGTAACAGGAAAGTGTGCCAGTGGAAATGACACTGAATCCAGTCTCAAAATCACCCCAAAAGATGATGCAGATATTGATTCCTTAACATTTAATTTCAAAATCATGGATGGCAAAGCTAGCATTGAGTCTTGGATGGCAGAACTCAAAGGCACTTAATATTGTTTTTGTTACTCTTTTTGGTTTACATATTTTCAATGAACAAAAAAGAAATGAAAATTAAAAGACTTTCTATAAAAAATTTCATTTGATTCATTGGGTATATTGAAATATTTTAATCCTTGCATATCAGTGTGGTTTGAAGGATTTGCTGATATTTAATTTTTGAGGGTGACAGACAATACATGAATTTCAGGAATGATTTAGAAATGTATTGTTGGAGTGAGCATTATTGACTTGACAATGTTTTTTTTTTTTCAGAGCTAAATCACACAGTGAATGAAACCGTGATGTTAACATCTCCTAAACTATATTACAAGTGTGAAAAAGGGGGAAACTTCTCAGATGATATTCTAGCCCTCAAGTACAAGGAGTTACAAGTACAGGCCTTTAATGTGGAGAACGGGAATTTTTCAGAAACTGGTAAATATTTCACAAACATGTATGAATGATGTGTTGGGAAAATAAAGACCCATTTCATTACGATATCATTATTTATGTTTGTACGAATACTTCAAATGTTATAGCATATAGCTGAAAGCACATTTTCATCTCTGTGCTTGATTTGTTATATGTTTTTGCACTGTTTAATTTCATTAAGTCAACTGAAATAAGAAATAATTTTTACTTTTTACATATTTCTATGAACAAGTAATGCTGATAAGTTCATGTGTTTTACAGCACATTTAATGTATAATAGACTAACAAAGGAAAAAATACCTAACTTACTTCCAGATAATCTAATTTATCATTCATAACATTCAATATATAGAAAATATACAGTACATTGATCATTGAAGATACTTGTTGTGATGTGATCTTTGGATAGTTCCCCTGAGCCAATCATATGAACTTTTCTGATAGGAATTGACTGATGTCTGCTTGTAAACTGTACACCAGATCTACTTGACGTTTTTCAAACAAACTTGCCACAAAGCAAAGTTGGATTAAGGGAATTCAAGTCTTTATGTCTGTAATTATAGATTCAGATAGTTTTTGGTCTGTCCATCATTTTATCTGTATATCTTCAGAAAGTTTTATCTTGAAATTGCCCTAACTTTTGAATGCACCCTGAACGAGCTTTTGTATTTCACTAGCTGCAGATCTGTAGCTCTCCGAAAAAAATATTGATAGACCGGAGAGCTACAGTGCCACCCATTGAAAAAACTGTATATTTATTGCGCACAAAAAAGTGCGCTCGGTTCCCATTTAATTTCTCCAGGTTTTTAAACTGTAATCTCAAAATATTACTAACCGTGTGTTCCTAACATATTCTTTGACTCTTTCCACAACAAAACATTCCTCATAATTGTCGTTAGTAGTCCTCCTGGCCCTGATATTGTAATCATCCAACATTTCGCTTATTTATACTGCCATTTTGGTTTCAAAGATAATTCAGTCCGATATGCTTCGTTCAGATTCAACAACGAAAGTACTTGATAGAGGATAGGGGATTTTTTTTAAATCTTCCATTTTTTGCAACTGAGGTAAGAATTTGGAAGAAACAATCTACAACCGAGCGCACTTTTTTGTGCGCAATAAATATACAGTTTTTTCAATGGGTGGCACTGTAGCTCTCCGGTCTATCAATATTTTTTTCGGAGAGCTACAGATCTGCAGCTAGTATTTCACTTGCGTATGCCTTGTGATTAGACCTATCATTGGGTACCAACATTTTGACTCATGGCTTTGACTTTTAAGTTGACCTATTATTGGTAAAACCTAAGAAAATTAAGCCTTGGGCATAACTTCTGAACGATTGGATATTTCACATCTGCATTTTTTGAAACAAGAACTTTTGGGTACCAACATTTTGACCTTGATCTACTTTGAATAAAGTTAATCTTGGTTATAACTAAACTTTGAATGGCTGGTTTTAGGGCATCCCAATTTTACTTGGCTTGTGTATTCCTCATGACAAGACATTGCCTTTCCCTTGTGACCTAGACCTTTGGGTTCAACCTATTTTTGAAAATAACAAAAATGTTATTGTGGTTCTTAAGAATTGCTGTGTAAAATATATTTTCAGGATTCATTTATCAGGAAATTTTTGCTTTGTTTCAGTCTATATGGCTCTAAAAATCATTCATGTACCTAGTTGTTAGAATAACAGATGCAATATAGGTGGGGTGGGAGTTAATAAAATCATTATAGAATATTAATTTATTTTCTTTTCAGGATTTGACTGCCCAGCTGATGCTCCTGATGAGCCAGCTCCTGGGAAACCCCCAGTTGTAACATACACTGCAACTGGTGGAAACAAGACCTGTGTTGTGTTTAAGGGAAGCATCCAGTTCCACATTCCTTATGTTTCCACAAAGGGGGTCAGTTTTTAATCAACAGTATGCAACAACAAGTTATCTGTTTTATATGTGTTTTAATAAACTGAATTGTTAAAATATGAATATTTAATGAATAGACAAATTTCATATGTAATTGAACTGTGACTTTTAAGTAAATTGCATTATGGTTTCAAAATGAATGTAAAACTTGTTAAGTACTGGTACATATAAAAAAAATTGTCATTTACTAGTATTTAAATCTGTAGGTTGCATAGAATTTCACCTGACATTTTGTGTATGGTATAATTATTACAGAATACAACAGCAGTGATTTCTGTGCCTGTAAAAACCAATACAACTGGTGATTGCAACATGACTATGAATGGTTTGTACACTCAGATGTTGTCAATCAGCTTTTATGAAACCTGGAAGTTAAACTTGTACTTCTCATCCAACAAGAAGCAAACAACAGATCTACTAACAGCTGATGCAGGTGTGGCTAACTACGACATCTCTCAGATTGAACTGACTTACGACTACAACAACAACCTCTTTTCAGATGTTGATGACAGTGGTGAGTTTATCACTGAATGAAAAGGAAAAGGTTTTTTATTTTTTTTTGGGGGGGGGGTATCATATTGTCTGAAATTTAGTATACACTTTTAAAATTGATAATTAAAGAGTTTTATACAGAAAAGCTCTGTTCTTCGTAAGTCATGAATATTGATATTTTAAAAAGAATTAAGACTAGAATTAAAAAATATAAATCGGTGGAAGTATTTAGATGATCAGCAACATCTTAAGCTGAAAGCAAAACTTTTTTTTTCGGTGATTAAACAATTCAGAAAAGAAAAAGTCTTTCATAACCTTCTACAGATTATTGAAATGTTTTACTGTAAAGGCTGTTTCATGATCCTGAGGCCAGGTCTGGAGACCATAAACTGAGAACAGACTTAAGTCAAAATTTTGAATTTGAATAGCTTGCCATTTATAAAACATACGTTACCAAGAATTTGTAGGTTTTTATAATATCCCAATATATATACATTCACTGTGTTTTTCTACTAAGCCAACTGTGAAATTGATTTGAAAACCATTTTCGTGTATACTCACGCGTAGAAATATACACGGAAAATATGAGTTAACGTGACGTCACAATAAGGCTACAGCGACGTCACAATAAGGCTACAGCTACGTTAGTTAAAGTACAACGATATAGGGCAGCGAGAAATTCAAATATTGAGTATATTTTTGGTGCTTCCAAACACGTAAAATGTAAATATAAGGAATGTTTTCAAGTTTAGTGTGAATTATTGGTGTGTGAATCATACAGATCTGCGTGTAGGCATATTTTTCACGAAGCGCTAGCGCGCTTCATGAAATATGCCTACGTGACAAGTTTGTGTGATTCACATACCAATAACTCACACAAAACTTTAAAATATTCCTTAATTAAACTTACAGTAAAATTTATGTTTTTTTAGCAAGCGTATTTTTAAAGTTATATTGATTTGAATCTTTGACTTAAATCTGTTCTCAGTTTATGGTCTCCAGTATAACCATTTTGTGTACAAGACCCCATCCTTTTGACACAGTTTGGAACTACGTAGCAAATAATGTAGATCAACATATTTTCAAGATACCTTGTTTTCGTTTATTTATAGGGGGTGTGGTTTCTGTTGTAATCTTTAAAATTTACACGAGAAAATAAGTAGTAGTCAATTTTATTTTACAATATGAGGCAAGATTGAGGGCTCGATGGTTATGAAGTAATATGGATGTGTGTTATGGCCCATTGTCAATTTAGTATTTCACAATATATGATACTTATGTACAGTTACAGGAGATTTTTAAAACTATTAAAATCAATGATGTATTTCCCTTTGAAAGAAATGGTCTTGTTAAATTTTTTAAAGTCAGAAGTGTGTATTAAGTAGCCTAGTTTTGAAAAAAAGTTTATCTATTCTATATAAATAAATGATAATGTTGTACAATGATTTGTCATTTGTTTTGTTTTTGCAGTTGTTGGTAAAACTGAGATGGTGACTACCAACCAGACCTTCCTGTCAACATCTGCGAGCAAGAGCTACATGTGCAGCAAAGATACCACCTTTACTCTTAATCAAAATGGATTGTCCATGGTAACCAAAGATCTTCAGTTCCAGGCTTTCAGAACGACAAACACAACAGATTTTGATGGTATGTTTTTGTTTATGACAGATATACGTATCATGTAATCATTGTAGTAAGCAATTTGTAGTTGGTTTTTTTATAAGTTTATGATGAAAATCTTTACAAATGAAATTATCAAATAGTTTTAAGGTGATAAAGTTCATTTATAATTTGACTTTACATTCATATTTTGCGGGAATGTACTGTAGACCACTAAATTTTTATGACACTGTATTTTATAGAGATTGTTTGGTACACACACATGTATATGATAAGATATTGATAAGAAAAATAAAATTTAGTCATTTGCTGTATGTAATCATTAATAATAAAATTAAACAAAAGAAGGGAATTTTTGTTAGCACATGGCCAAGCAGCAAGTCATGTAGTTCTCTCGAATGAAAAGTGATTTACAGTAAATTTTAAGTTGCGAGAACTGGAGAGGGTTATAAACTGAAAAACCATGATTCAGTTAACATTGTTTTGATTGTAAAAGTTTTAGCAAAAATGAATATTGCAGAGGAAAAAAAGATAAATTGTAGATGTAAAAATGATAAATATACAACAATGTATAGGGTGTAATTATTTTGACTCAATTACTATTATAAGTATTACTTTTGGCTAGTGGTGTTCGAATCATCGATAATAATCGAAAATCAGTCGATTTCTGACAAAATCCAAGCAATCGATTGCATTTTTAAAATTCTGATTAATTGGTTTATTGTTTTATTTTACAAGCATAATAGTTTTTGATCCTAATTTTTCATCCACAGCATTGCATTTGACTTATTTGTGTAACAGATAAACAAACTCTTGTATTTCTACCCGGATAACAGAACATGTTTCTGGGCTTGGGCGTACTTTTGGTTCTATAAAATGAACAAAGGACCAGCTGGATCACCACAGAAAGTTGTCATTTACCTATTCTTACCATTTACTTGTTTAAATTGATATACTTTTTACATGTCCGATTATAATCGATAATTAGTTAGTTAAAGTAACCCAATCATTGACGATGAAATTCTTTCCCATCGCTACTTTTGGCTGTGTATTCTTCTTAGCACCTTTTCTGGAAAGCTGCAGCCTTCACTTAATCAAATATATCACTAAATATTTTTCGTATGTAGGTTTTAGCAATGGGCAATCAAAAAGCACTAAATCAAATCTACACAAATGTGTTGAAAATTCAAATTCAAATTGGCCAACTTACACATCTAATGATCATCTACCAGACCTTTAAGTTATTTTTTACATTTGTTAAAAGGGAATCTCTTTTTTTAAATTCACAGCTGCCACGGAATGTGCAGGAGATGAAGACACCAATAGCATTGTACCAATCGCAGTGGGTGCTGCGCTGGCCGGACTGGTCATCATTGTACTGATAGCTTATCTGATTGGACGAAAACGAAGTCGCTCTGGATACGAACAGGTGTAAAAATGACTTGAATGACAATAATTTTTTTTTTTAATTTACATGCAGATTTAACATTTTTGTAATTTATATATTTCTTTAATTCAATTTTGGTTTTGTCCTTAATATGTGAAAAATAGTGACTGGAAGATTTTTTTAATAACCTCAACAAATGTTGAAAGAAAAGTGAAGACAAATTTAAAAAAAAAAGGCTTTGATGTACACTAAATACTCAATTTTAAATTTATTTTTTTCTCTTTTATACACAAACCTAATAATGTTTAACATTCCAATGTGGAGGTTAATTGTGTGTGATAAACATCATGAATGAAGCACATATGTACTAAAATTTAATTGTTTTGAATGAGTAATACTGTAAATACTTTCCATTTATGATTGAAGCAGGAGAATATATATTTGTTACTAGGCCAAATGTTGATATGAATATAGCTAAGCTTTGAATATAGTCCATGCTAAGAAATGATATGTAAGCTTAGGTGTCATATCTGTAAAAGTTCGAGATCTCATAAATATTTTCAATTCTTTTGTGGTTTTTGCTTTAGATGAATATAGCAAGGAATTAGAGTTTTATATATACTGTGCTAGTCCAAGCTTTCATATACACTGTAGTTCAAGTTTCCACTTACAGAGAGGGTTCGGATAAAAATAGTTTTACAGGCAAATCAAAATTGGTAGCTGTGTAGAAATTTTAAAAAAAAAAGAAAAGAAATGAAAAAAATTAAAAATACATAAGGCCATGAATGTTATTCATTTTAGGAACCTTGAAGTTCGCTACAAGCAATTGTTGTTTACTGATTTTCTGTTCTACATTTATTTGAGGCAGGGTGGGAATTTTGTATCTATATATTTTCATGTATATACATGTATATATAGATAACATAATTTGTTGACAATATGAGGATAAAGTTGAAGAAAAAGTACCTATGAATGTTAATGTGAGATATTAAAGTGCTATATTTGCCAGTTTCTCCTCATATTATGATTATATTCTTTTGCATGTGTGAATGTTCATCTTTTCGTGGTGTAACTTTTGTAATATTATTTCATTTGTGTGACTGATATCTTATTTTTAAAAGTGTATACTTGTAGTAAATTTGATATTTATCATGTCTAGAAATAATGTGTCTAATGTATAAAACATGATCCATTTTATTAAAATTTTTAAGTTCATTTGGAATAAAAATAATTGACAAGTACTTTCAGAAAATTATTTCGTTCATGGGAAAAAAAAAACTTAAAACTATGTGTTTGTAAGAGCCATGGTTATTTTTGAAACATTACATACAATGTTATGTGCATGAATTGAAAGAACCACTTAAACAAAAAAAATTCAAAATTAGTTTTCTCTGTGATTAACAAAGGACTAACACAGGTGTGTTGGAATAAGGAAATTTGAAAGTTTTCCTTGATACATGAATTGATAACTTAAATTTGCTTCCTTGGTTTTGCTTTGAGTTTATTCTTGTCTTTAATTGTTCAGCCATTATTGAGTACTCTACGTGTGAAAAAATGCCAAGGTTCAATGATTGTTGTATATATTTATAACTTTTTATGATAATTAATGTTTTTTTTTCTTTTTCTTTTTTTTTGCTTTTAAATTTGACTGAAATGAAAGTGCAACTCTTATTTTCAGAACATTTAATACACACAAAATCGAATGGTCTTTTGTTAACTCCAATTCAGAAGAGTTCCACAATTACCTTGAGGTAATGGTGCAGGGTTCAATTTCTCATTAAAAAAATCTTTCTTTTTTTTGTTTTTTTTTACTTTTTTCATTTTCAACGTACACTGTAGTCCAAGTATCATTTTATGAAAATTGATTGAATCATCACAAAATTTCTTTTTCATCTGATATATAATTCTTTAGAAAGCTGTGTACAGGGTTATTTTGGTCACACTTTGTCAAATTTTTGCCCTTCTGCATTATGGAAATTAATTTGGCCTATTTTAAATGCACCCAGAAACAAGACAATAAGTTCATTGAATATGAGATTTTAAATACATCCACGCAATTGTAAAAAGGGCAAAAATAAAGTGGGGCTAACAATTTTCCATGTTTACAGTATTTTATTACATGCAAATACAGAGATTGAACTTTCATGTACACAGTACAATGTACCCTTTTGTTTTCTTATGATGTTAATTGAAATCTTTCTTCTTTATTTTGGAAAGAGGGAATTGAACTGGGAGGATATTGGTTGATGTTACCAGCAAATTATTACACTTTATACTTTCTGTGATCATTTTTGTAGAGAACTTTGTCACCTTTGAATTAAAATATTTTTGATTGACAAAATTTTCTTGTGTTTTATTAATTGATTGAAATAAATGCAGATTTTGCATATCTTGATACTTTGATAAATAGTGTATGAATCCTGATTCTGAAGTTTGTATTCATTAAATTAACATCTATAGAATATATTACAAAAAGTAACAAGACCAAAGAACTCTTAATATGAAATGTCAAATGAATGGGGATAATATTAATGGTTCATATCAATTATGATACTTTTTCTTATATACCAATCAATTGTGTTAAAACCTTTTAAACTGAAAATTAATCCTGTAATATCAAATATGAAACATGAGTTATGCTTCTATAACACATATAATTAATTTGATACAATATTGTGTATGGGTTGTACAAATATTGGAATATAAACACATTTACCGTAAGTTGATTGAAGTATACTATTATGCAATTATTTTGATTTCAATCATTTTGAAGTGTTAGCTTTAAAGTAGGAAAGATACAAAAAAAACTGATATATTAGAAAAAATTATTTTTAGCTCACCTGAGCCAAAGGTTTTATTTTTTTCTCTCTTTCCCAGAACTACTAGGCCAATTTCAATGAGTTGAAGAGAATTCAAGTTTGTTCAAAGGAATGAAGTAATGGTCATGCTTTTTTTCAAGAGGAGATGATAAAGAAAACGTAAAAATTGGATAAGATTGTTTAAAAATCTGTAGAACACTGGGCCTGAAAAAATGAAACTCATGTTTAATGTAAAGGTTTGTTTATAAGGCTAAAAGAAAGCAGTTTTCATCTTAATTTAGTGCAAGTAATATACTACCTTTTCAGAACCACAAGGTCATGCTAGAGATAATATATAATTCAAAGGATACCCAAGATGTGTCAATTAAACTTATATTATTTCATGATTCTTTTGGACTTTAGTGAGGCCACATTATGAGGTTAAAATTTTCAAGCAAATATGGAATTTTTAAGGGGGAAAAAGCTTAAAAGTTTTTTTTAATGAAATACAAGAGGGCCTATGGACTAAGGTGAGCATTATGGCCTATAGATCTCTTGTAACATTAATTTATAATTAAACCCATGAAAACAATACTTCCTTCAGAGATGGAAAAACAGGTTACAGACAACAGTTTAATTTATGAGAGCTAGTGCATCCTTGAGTCAATTGATAAAATTTTCCTGCATTTATACATATATATGATGCAATTTATAATGAATCAAGATTTCCTGGAATTGTTCTTCATTCTCTAAAAGGTGCATCATTTAATATTGGTTATTCTAAACACTAGATAGTATTTGGCATTTCATGAAGAAATTTAAATGCATAGTTTTTGTAACAGGTACCTCAATGCATCATTTCTTTACACTTAATTTTATTCATTGAAGTACTGTTATAGATAGTAAATAGGGGTGTTGTTATGAAACGTAATAAATTATTTTAGATTTAATCACTTAAAAAACGAAAAAAAAAAAAAACAAGGTCAAAAGGTTAAATATTGTTGGTATCCAATGAAAGGTCTTTCCACAAAGAATATATATGTCAAATATAAATGTCCTGGTATATATTGTTCAAAAGATATGGCCAAAGTAAAAGTTCAAAATTTTTGTGTTAAAGTGGGTCAAACTCCAAGGTCAAGGTCAAAAAGTCAAATTTGGTGGTACCCAAAGAAAGATTTTGTCACAAGGAATACACATGTGAAATATTAATGTCATATCTCCACTAAATCAAAAGTTATAGGCAAGGTTAAAGTTTTTGCGGACAAACAGAGAGACAGACAGACGGACGGACACGACAAAAACTATATACCCCCGAAACTTCATTTACGGGGGCTTAAAAGACAAGATGTGTTTGTGATCGAAACACTGATGCCCCCGTATGGCAACATAGCAAAGATTAAACTTTTCTTTAATGCAAATTTCATTAATTTGTACCAAAAGCAGGGTATTCTCACTGGAAAACAATTAAGAAATTTGAAAGTAGGCCAATGTTAAAGTTTATCCTATAATTACAAAATTTCCAAGGTCAAAAGGTCAGGGTAATTGGTATCCAATGAAAAGTCTTGCCATTTAGAAAACTTATATAGAGTATGGAAGCCGTAGCCCTAACCGTTCAGAAGTTATGGCCATGGTTAATTTTCTTTAAAAGTAGGTCAAACTCGAAGGTCAAGATTAAAGGGTCAAAGTTCTTGTTATTAAATAAAAGGTCTTGTCACAAGGATTAAATATGTAAAGTATGAAAACCGTAGTCTTAACCCTTTAAAAGTTATGGTCAAGGTTTGCTTCTTTAAAGAAGGTCAGACTCAAAGATCAAGTTCAAGGGGTCAAAGTTCTTGATATCCAATGGAGGGACTTCTCAGAATGATTACATATTTGAAGCATGAAAGCCCTATCCCTTACCGTTCAAAAGTAATGGCCAAGGTTAAAGTTTTTTCACAAGTACGAAAATCTACAAGGTCAAAGGGTCAAGATTGTTGGTATCCAATAAAAGGTCTTTCAACAAAAAATACATATATATATATGAAGTATAAATATCCTGGTATCTACTAATTAAAAGATATGGCCAACGTAAAAGTTTAAAATTTTCATGTAAAAGTGGGTCAAACTCCAAGGTCAAGGTCAAAAGGTCACATTTGGTGAAACCCAAAGAAAGGTTTAGTCACAAGGAATACACATGCGAAATATGAAAGTCATATCTCCACTAACACAAAAGTTATGGGCAAGGTTAAAGTTTTTGCGGACAAACAGAGAGACAGACAGACAGCTAGACAGACGGACGGACACGACAAAAACTATATACCCCCGAAACTTTGTTTACGGGGGCATAAAAATTATCACAAACGATATATCTTATAGTATCTTATAGTATTAGCTATTACACAATTATTTAATCCCCCATTCTTAAATACAAGTTGATTTAGTCATGTTTAGTCGCTTATTCACAAAAATCACTTTAATGGCAAATTAAACTTCGTATTACTCGCCCCTGAATGTAGGTGGCGTATGCACCGTTTAGGTTCAACGTTTTTTTTACCTCCGCGGTTAGAAATCACTTTCACTATCCGATGATATCGACTGTTGTGAAAATATACGTAATAAAATGACTGATTACGGCGTTTGGTGTCTTAAAATCTCAGAAATGAATGTAATCGCCGATAAGCATCATGATTTGATCGTAATTGGAGCTTGTGGAAAGGTCTGTTCCATATTTTGAGGTTTTAATCGTAATTTCCTCAGTCAAATAGCAATCGCGTTAAGCATAAAAATAAAGCGTATAAAAATAGATCGGAAAGAAATACACATGCATTTTCAATATTTTAAACATTGGAAAATAAATTTTCCGTTATTGTGAATATTATATTTTTCGTCTTTCTTTATTTTTAAACGGGGAGAACAAGTAATGTTTGCATGCAAGTGCACGATTCACATTACACGTAGTAATCGGCTGGTAATATCAGGAACGCATACCTGATATACAGTGTAGTTTATTACTTTAAACGACCCTAGTACTCATAATATGAAATTAAAAAAGAAGAAAAAAAACGAAAAATAAAAATTTCGGTTTAGATTTTCTGAACCAAAGCATAGAATAGAAACAATAAACTTTACTAACAATCATCTTGAGAGAGAGAAGTGCAGGTGCCAAGATTTTTCAGACTTAGTGTTACTTATGAGGATATTGACAAGGACATCTTAATTCCCTTTATCTAATGCAATATTCCTCTGATTCTAACAACCAACTTAATCTAGATTATCCTTTTTCAATTATAATTTTTAACCTGACAAGGAAATAATTATTTATATTCCTTAATTGAAACATTCTTACCCAACTAATACTCAGTGTCACTCTTGAAAGTATTTTTTTTTTTTGTTGTTTCGTTCGTGTGGGGAAAACAAACATACAGCTAAGTAATTCCTACTTCATATTTATACACACAGAGAAAAAAATATTACTTCAAAAATTCTATATCAGAGTGTGTATTAAGTGCCCACAAATCAATCTTTGTTACACTCCAAAATTCTAATTATAATGGTTGCTGTACATATGGAAGATTGTACAGTGGTCATCAGAAATTCAGTGTGTATCAGAGATCTGATTTTAATCAGATTGATGTTCCCATGAAGATACATTTATGTATATAATCATGCTTTATATTTTACTAGTAGCCAAACATAAAAGTAATTTTCAAAACCATACTGTATATGGCTTAGATTTTCATCCTGCAAAGGTAAATTACCCATTCAAGACCCAATAAAAACTTTTCAAATAAATATGGATAACAGTGATATTGTATATAATTGTTTTATTATAATATATGTATGATATGTGTAAAAACAACTAAATTTGCAATATGCTGAACTACAAATCATACATTTAATATTGTAAAATAAAATATTGAAGCTTAAAATATTGTGATAAATTTTCAAAGCCATATTACTCTTTCAAGTCCCATATGTTAAACATTTTGATCCATGCTTTTTTTTTTCAAATGAATTATTGCACTCATAATGATATTTATAGAAACTCATAAAATGTCATGATTGTTTACAGCAATTCAAATCCACAACACATTTTTAATAAATAAACTGCCCAAGCTAATATGATGTAAAATGAGTTTCAGTTAATACAGCAGTTTTTCCTTCATCAATCACAGTCCAGATCAAAGGCCACCTTGTGGGAGTATCTGCTTTTCTTGCAAGATATTTCAGTCAATTCCTAAAACATAAACATTTATTTATTTAAATTCAATTTAATTATCAATTTTTATATCACGAATTGATTACACATGTACTAGTATTTATTATAATGCCCTGATATATCCAAACAAAGATAAATGACAGGGTTTTGACTTTGAAAGGTCTGTTGGGGGTCTAAATAAGTAAAGCCTCAATGCCATTTTTAATGCTAAAAAAAAAGCAGGCCTGGGGGTTCTATCAATTTTTTTTCTTTATTAAAAAGTCCAAACATGGATGCCTTATTCTACACATATCAAATTCTCAGACCCCAAGATACAATGTTGTCCCAAAATTTTTAAGTAAACTATTTAATGGTTTAATTCTTGAAAACTGTCCGGTATTTGAATTACCTACCTTAAAATACAGTCCCACAGTGTACTTCTTTTTATGTTAAATCTTCCCCAATTCCAAGCATAAACTGGACAGGTCAGCCTCTTGGTATCAAGGCCTTATAGAGCCTTAAATAAACTGGTCCTATAAAAATGACAAGAAAATTATAAATTTATATACATAAATTACATATATATAAAAATCTGTTACATGAATTTGAAAATTTGACTTAATGTGTTATTGGTCTCAGAAATATTATTATAATAGATAGGCTGCCATGTAAATTTATATCTTGTAAATGGATGTCAAACAAAATGCTGCATAAATTTAAAAAATGAACAGTGGCGCATCCAGGAATTTTGTAACAGGGGCGCAGTAGAAGCCAGGGGGGATGGGGGGTCTGCTGTACTGAAGCCCCCAGTGGGTCTAGGGCGAGGTCCTTTTCGGAAGGCTGGGGCTGAAAAGCTAACAAGTTCTTACACATAAAAGAAAAATTCAAAGGGGGTGGGGAGGGGGGGGGCATGCCCGCCACACCAGCCCTGGATCTGCCTTTGAGAAACATTTCTTGACATACTTTTTGATTAAATTTTGGCATATTCAATATTTTTCAAAAAATAGAAAATTATGGAATTTTAAGAGATGAAATATGAAAAATATTTACTTGGATTTGAGGAGGAAATCCTCTCTGTCACTATCCTTCCCATTAAATTTTCATGTTTTCTTCAGTCGGTCATCATCAGTATACCTGTGGGATATATGTACTATATATAATTTATGACAAAACAAAATGACTATATAAATGCACATTTTTGCACGTGTTGAAAAGTTTTACAATTTCCTAGCATATTTTGAATATGTCAAGTAATTATGTAGCCGAGTATTTTCATGAGAATAAAAAACGCATATATAAATCAACCTACATAAAATTAAAAAAAAATAAATAAATAAATCTAAGTAATCCATATCGTAGCTTTAAAAAGTTTTTCTTAAACATTTTAACTTAAACCATTATTGATTATATTTGTTCAAAGACTGTAAGCATCATATATTTATAAGTGAATGATTACGGATACGTTTGACACTGTTACCCCCCCCCCCCCCCCCAATCACGAAGACTTATGTTAAAACAATATATAACGTACAGAATTTACTGAGCAAGAATAAATTTTAAAGTTAAAAGAATTCTTTTAATGCAAATAAAACTAATTGAGGAACTTACCTTCTGAAGTTGAAGAGATGAATGCATGTCACCGTCACCATGTGGCACAACACACATTGTGACTGAAGTCATCGAGGTTTTTGTAGCGAAATACATGATCGAACCTATGTATGGTTGATACCTAACGGTTAACCGACTTTGTATCTACACGAAAGCTTAATTTAAAACAGCTTAAACACTTAGGGAATTCTGAAAAACATCGATATACCATTGACAGACCTGTACACAGATTTGACCACAGGGGCTTGTCACGAAATATTTATCTTCTTTTAATAAAGTTACCCCTACTATAAAAATACACAAGGGAGGAATCTAAAAATAGGAAATTCGCTACTACAAATTTTGACCGGACTTTTTGTCTAGTTTCTGGGCGACTTTCGTTGCCGACCAAGTAGGAGTGAGTGGAGTATAGATTCAATTTTAATATTCTTCCGTCAAATTCTAATCAACGCGTACCGTTAGTCATATAACTAACCTCTTTTCTCGATATTTGGATCTGGCGACAGTTCTTTCATTTCTTTGATTCGGGAGGGGATAAGTTCAAACTCCAACATCTTTCAGTACTATTTTTTACACTAACTTACTACAATAATTAAACAAGATGTCTTTGTGAAAAACTATGCACCCGACGGTGCAAAGTTCGAAAAAAGCCATTTTTAGCGTAAAGGTCAATATCAAGGTCACAAGGTATTTGACCTTGGTATCATTTGAAAGAACTTGATAATTGGAGTATATGCATACCAAATAAGAAGTCCCTATCTCTCATTGTTCAAAAATTATAATTAAGATTCCAAAAAGCTATTTTTAGATCATAGGTCATACTCAAGGTCACAAGGTCAATGACCTTGGTGTCATTCAAAAGGTAAGAGTGAAGGTAACATACTAAATATGAGGTCTCTATCTTTCAAGGTTCGAAAGTTATGGCGAAGGTTAAAGTTTGAAGACGCTATTTTTAGCATATAGGTCACAGCCAAGGTCACAAGGTCATTGATATTGGTATCATTGGAAAGAGTTTTATTTGTGGAGTATCCATACTAAATATGAAGTCTCTATCTTTCATGGTTCAAAAGTTACGGCGAAGGTTAAAGTTTGCAGGAAAAAAGCTATTTTTAGCATATAGGTCACAGTCAAGGTCATTGACCTTGCTTTCATTTGAAAGAATTTTATTAGTGGAGTATGCATAATAAACATGGAGTCCCTATCTCTCATTTTCAAAAGTTTTGGCTAAGGTTAATTAAAGTTTGCAGACAAACAAGCAGAGAGACAGACAGACAGGACAAAAACAATATACGCCCCGGGCGCATAATAATTAACAAAAGAGGGGGGTCAATGAACATTTCTATAATATCAAAAATCTGGATAGATAAAGTTGAAAAACCATTCTGTGCAAAATTCAATGTAGCATCTTTACATTCAATGAAGTTACAAGTTTGTCTGTATATAGTACATGTGGGGGGGGGGGGGGGGGGGGGGGGGGGATGGAGGGGTTTCTATAACGCGGAACGAAAAGCGGAACGGAAAACGGTATATATATTTTTATTCCCCGTAGACGACGTTTCGGTGGTATAAAGTTTTTGTCGTGTCCGTCTGTCTGTCTGTCTCTCTGTCTGTCTGTCCGAAAAAACTTTAAACCTTGCCCATAACTTTTGATTAAGTGAAGCTTTGACTTTTATCTTTCACATGTGTATTCCTTGTGACAAGACCTTTCTTACGGCTTCACCAAATGTGACCTTTTGACCTTGACCTTGGAGTTTGACCCACTTAAACACAAACATTTTTAATTTTTACGGTAGATACTAGGACTTCAAAAGTTCCCATATATATTCTCCATGGCAAAACCTTTAATAAGATAACACCAGCTTTGACCTTTTGACCTTGACCTTGGAGATACGTACTAATGAAAAAACATTAACCTCGGCAATAACTTTTGAAAGGTAAGGTATACAGCTTTCATACTTTACATATGTAATCCTTGTAAGAAGACGCTTCATTGGATTTTTAGAGATTTGACCCTTTGACCTTGACCTTGGAGTTTGACCTACTTTTAAAAAACAAACATTGACCATATTTTTTAAAGGGTTAGAGCTGGTGCTTCCATACTTTATGTATTTAATTCTTGTCACAAGACCTTTCATTTTATATCAAGATCTTTGACCTTGACCTTAGAGTTTGACCTACTTTTAAAAAATTCTAACTTTGACCATAACTTTTGAACAGGTAGGGCTAGAGCTTTCATATTTTACATATGTATTGTTTTTATAAGACCTTTCATGGGATACCAATAACATTGACCCTCTGACCTTGACCTGGGAGATTTCCGGACTTATGAAAAAACTTTAACCTTTTCAGTATCTTTTGAACGGTTACGGCTAGGGCTTCCATACTTCAAATATGTATTCTTTGTGGTAAGTCCTTTTATTGGATACCAATAACTTTGACCTTTTGACCTTGACTTTACAGATTTCCGGACTTATAAAAAAGTATTAACCTTGGCAATACATTTTCAAGAATAAGGGCTAGGGCTTTCATACTTCACATATATAATTCTTGTGACAAGACCTTTCATTCAATACCTACAAACTTGACCTTCTGACCTTGATCTTGGAGTTTAATTTACCTTTAGGATCTTTTAACCATGGCCATAACTTTCTAATGGTAAGGGCTAAGGCTTCCATACTTCACACATGTGTTCTTTGTGGAAATACCTTTCTTTGGATACCAATAATATTGACTTTCTGACCTTGATCTTGAAGATTTCTGTACTTTTGGAAAGAACTTTAACCTGGCCATAATTGGGAACAGATGGTTATAGGGCTTTCATGTTTCACAATTGTTTTGTCCAGTTAAGGGACCCTACTTTTGGTACCAATATATTAAATTTACATTTAAGAAAAGTTTAATCTTCACTATGTTGCCATATGGGGCATCAGTGTTTCACAAACACATCTTGTTTTATATTAGATTACTTAAAGTACAAAATTTAATTTATCATAAACGATATATCTTATACATATTCAACACCCATTCTTAAATACAAGTAGATTTTAATCATGTTTAGTCTCGTATTCACGAAAATCGCAGCACCCTTTCTTAGGTGACGGTCGACTGTGCTGCGCAGTAGTTAGAGCGTCTGCTCTGGAGTCTCAGAGTAAGAAGTCAATCCTTACGTCGCTGGTTCGAATCCCACTGTGGGACTGGGAGACCGGTCCTTCGGATGAGACCGTATAAACTTTCACGAAGTGTACCTGTGAAATTCGGGTTAACACTTGTTTACAAGTTTGGAATATATGGAACTTGAACCCGATGTTTATAAACTCCGTAAATATTTGTCAATGAACAGTTAACGAAAGAAATGAACAATAATTGATTTAATGACTTTATTAATTTAACATGTATGATTTAATGACAAAGTGGTGTATTTTGTATGTTTTAAATGGGTACAACGTTATTAATTTAGTAGGTAATTTTGTTGGTCAAAACCACAGGCCTTTGGATCGCTTAAAAAAATTTCGTGTGTAAAAAAAAAATAAAGGTACTGAACTCTTCCACTGGGTACCTAATTTCGCTAATAAAATATTTTTTGTACTAATGCTTTAAAATTCTACTTTCTATTTAAATCTATTCATAGATAAACATTCTTCAATTCTACCAAAGCTCATTCCGAAATTCCATATATTTCTTGAGATATTCTGAAATAAATTTCAAAAATGACCCACTTTCTTTTACTCGACATTAGCTTGGGCCCCTGGTCATTCACATGTAAACAGACGGTGTTTGAAGTGCGGCGAAGAATTGCATAGTATTTGCAAAATCTTTCAACAATTTAAAGTTGATTTCTTGCTCCAGATTGTAACGTTAAGTCCGTAATAATATTCCTTTCCCGAAAAATTAATTTGAAAACGTCTTCATCAACAACTACCGCCATGTTGATTATAAATGTAAATGAAGCCATGGTAGAACGATTTTTTCCCGGAATGCATTATATACCTTTCGATTTTCAAAACAATTAGACCGCTGAAATTTTGTTTATGACTTAGTTACACCATATGATCAAATTAAAGAAAAATCTTGTAAAGCTTGATTGCAAATGAGCAAATATTCATTGAGTTTAGAATAAATTCCGGAGAAAAATTGTCCCGTCGTTCCCGCTTTACAATTAGTGAAGGCCCAAGCTGATGTCGAGTAAAAAAAATATTGTCAATTTGGGAATCGATTTCAGAATATCTCGAGAAGTATACGGAATTACGGAAAGAACTTTGGTAGTAATGAAGATATTTTATATTTGAATAGATATGGATAGAAAGTAAAATTATAAAGCATTTCATTTAAAAGAATATTATTGGCGAAAGTAGGTACCCCATGAAAAGAGTTCCATACCTTTATTTTTTTTTTCAACACCTCAATTTTTTTTTCAAAGCGATATAAAGGCCTGTGGTCAAAACCCGCTAACTTACTGATTGCATTGATTGTGACGTAATAGGTTTCTGATTGTCTCTTACGTCATCATAACAACTTTTGTCTATATAAACCAGCTGTTTTGGGTTCTGACTTCAGTCGGCTGTGGGGAGCGACTCGCAGCACACAGCCTTCCCTGGTAAGTCACTTTGGGGAACGACTCCGTATACTTCGGTTATAAGACGGTACCAAGTCTATGTATACGAAACCATTAAAGGGAACCAAGTTTTTAGGAACGTCCTGGATTGACCATCGGTTGGTCACCTTTTTGTTAACCAAAT